ATTAATCCCTACCTTCATGGAGCATACTTTTTTAAATTTTTTAAAAGATTTTATTTATTTATTTTTGAGAGCGAGAGAGAGAGGTATCACAAGCAGACGAGGCAAGCAGAAGGAAAGGGAGAAGCGGGTAGGGAGCCAGATATGGGGCTCTATCCCAGGATGCCAGGATCCTGACCAGAGCAGAAGGCAGACACTTAAATGACTGAGCCACCTAGGTGTCCCTGGAGCATACATGTTAAATTCAATTCATGAATAGAAAAGTGTCCCTACCATCAACTTGTTACTGTTTCTACTTGAGTATATTTGCTACATTGCTACAGATACTGTATGAACTATGGGGCGCATAGCTTGCTCTTTTTTGTTTCCATGTCTTCTTGATGCTCTGTCCATAGTGGCAAATACAAGATGACTTTTCCCTCACTAGGAAATCAATCGAAACTTTGACCCTATATAAAAATATGACTGGGAGAATTACCAGTCAATTACAATTTCCATACAGATAAACAAAATGCAATTTCAAGATAATTTTAGACAATTCGGTTTTATATGCACACTGTGTGTTCTGTAGTATGTAGAAAATTCTGAGGAACTGGACATATTTAAGAAAACAAGATAAAGCTGAAAATATGAACCCTCTGAGCCCGAGTATCACAAAACTCTGTGATTGAAAGAATAAAAGTACACTTTGAAGTACCAAAGTCATTATCACCCTGTTGGTATATAAAACACTAGACAGCTAATTTTTCTCTCCTACAGGTCATATCTGTTTTTATTTATTTTAGTTTTATTAAAAGACATACTTGACCCTTGAGTTTCATAGTTAATTTTGTTGACATTTAAAGTAATTTTTATTTTAAAAGGCTTAAACCTTTTAAAAGATTTTGTATGTATTACTTTGATTTTTACCATTCATTCCATACATACTTATTGGACCCTCCTCTGTCTCAGGCATTGTTTTAGATCTAGGAATTTAGCAGTGAATAAAATAAACAATATCCCTGTCCTTATAAAAATTACATTCTACTTGAGAGGATCGAAAAAAGCAAATTTGTATTTCAGATATGTATATCAGGTAGTGCAAGGGCAAGAGTTAAGGAGAAAAATAAAACCCCGAAGGAGCAGAGGGCATGGTGAGGAGAGGGGGGGGAAGGTGGGGATAGTTACCTCAGTCAGGGTGGACAGGAAAGGAGAAAACCATAGGAGAAGGAGAGACCCCAGAGAAGTCAGGGTGAGAAACTTGTACAAAGATAAAATGATAGAATGATAAAATGCTTGTACAAAGGTCTTCGGCCAAAGTGTGTCTGAAGTTGCCTAAGAACAGAAAGCCAGGGCACAGTTAGCAGGAGATGAAGTGAGAAAAGATGCAAGGTGCCAGACCATGTTGATCCTTGTATGCAATTCTGGATTTGTCTTCTACTCTTGAATGAATAAATTTTATATATATATATATACACACACACACACACACACACACACACACACACACATATATATGCATATATAGACACATCTATATAATGCTATGTAATATATTATCTATATGTGTGATATATTATCTATATACATTCTACATATATAAATTATATATAATTAATATATATGTAATTTAATCTCACCACATGTTTAATACTGTTCAGTTAGGGCTATACACTACTCACTATCACTGGCATTTTTTCTACCTTATATGTGCATTATAATATACATAATATATACATATTATATAATATACATTATTACTCTCTCTACACACACACACACACACACATACACACACACCATGTGTGTGCATGATGGTTTCTCCTAATCAAAGCTAAAAATTACACAAATAAAGATCATCTACATCAAGAAGAATATTAGTCAATACATATTTGTATTGTCAAACCCAGGATCTATACAAATCTCTACAGATTGACAAAACAGATGTTGAATCAAATATTCATATGTTTGAAATCCAGACACATTAAAATAGCACAGATTTTTTTTTTCATCAAAAAAGTCATTCAATAGGCACTGACAGATAGCAATGAACATTGTAAGTATTTGTGACTTCTAATAAAATACTTGGAGAGCTGGAAATGAAAGAAAATGTTTCTTTTTTATTAAACAATAACTGACATGCAATATTATATTAGTTTCAGGTGCACAAGATAGTGAGTTAATATTTTTTATACATTACAAAATGATCACCATGATAGGTCGTTATCATTTGTCACCATACAAAATTGTTGCTGTATTATTGATTCTATTCCCTATGCTGTACATTACATCTCTAACTTACTTATTTTATAACTGTAAGTTGATACCTCCCAATCCCCTTCTCCTATTTCATCTGTCTCCCCCTCTCCCAGCTCTCTCGCAACAGCTAGTTTATTTTCAGTAACTGTGATTCTGTTTCTGTTTTGTTAGTTTGTTTTGTTTTTTTCAGCTCCACATATAAGTGAAATTATATAGTACTTGTCTTTCTCTGTAGGACTTATTTCACTTGGTATACTACCTATTAGATCCATCCATGTTGTCATAAGATTTAGTTGTTTTTGTTTTTGGGTTTTTTTTTGTGGCTAAGTAATATCCCGTAGTGTATATGTGTGGGTGGGTGAGTGTATTTCTACAGGTATATAACATATATATCACATAAGTATATACAGTATCTTATATTTCTATTCATCTATTGATGGATACTTTGGTTCCTTCCATGTCGTGGCTATTATAAATAATCTGCAATGAACATAGGGGTATATATATCTTGTGAAATTAGTGTTTTCATTCTTTTTTGGAAAGATACCCAGAAGAGGAATTGCTAGATGTTATAGTAGTTTAATTTTTTGAGGAATCTCCATTTTGTTTTCATAGCAGCTGGACCAGCTTATCCGCCAACAGTGCTCAAGGGTTCCCTTTTGTTCACATCCTTGTCAACACTTGTTATTTCTTGTCTTTGTGATAATACTCACTCTGACAGGTGTGAGGCAGTGTCTTATTGTGGTTTTGATTTGCATTTTTCTGGTGATTAGTGACACCGAGCATCTTTTCATATGCCTGTTGACAGGCATATCTATGAGTCCTCTTTGGAAAAATATTTACTCAGATCCTCTGCCCATTTTTTAAATCAGGTGTTTTTTGTTATTGTTGTTGTTATTGAGTTGTATGAATTCTTTATATATTTTGATATCAACTATAAAATACATGGTTTTCAGATATCTTCTATCATTCAGTATGTTGCCTTTTCATTTTGTCAATGATTTCCTTTACTGTGCAAAGGTTAGTTTGATGCAGTCCTTTTTTTTTTTTTTTTATAGATTTTTGCTTTTGTTGTTTTTGCCAGAGAAGTCATATCTAAAAAAATATCACAAGAAGAGTGTCAAAGAGATTACTGCCTATATTTCTCCTAGGAGTTTTAATTTTTTAAGTTTTTAAGTTTCAAATCTTACATTCAAGTCTTTGATTCATTTTAAATTAATTTTTGTGTATAACATAATAGTCCAGTTTCATCCTTTCCCATGTGACAGTCCAATTTTCTGAACATTGCTTATTGAAAAAACTGTTCTTCTCCCATTGTATGTTCTTCCTTCATTTATCATAAATTAATTGGCCATATATCTGTGGGTTTATATCTGGACTTTCTATTCTATCTATTCCATAGTCTATGTGTCTGTTTTTCTTCCAATATCATACTATTTTGATTACTATAGCCTAGAAGTATAGTTTGAGATCAAGCAGTGTGATACTCTGAGTTCTTTATTCTTTTTCAAGACTGCTTTGGCTATTTGGTTTTTTTTGTGATTCTGTACACACTTTAGGATTATTTGTTATAGTTATACAAACAATTTCATTAGTATTTTGGTAGGGTGTAGACTGAATTTGTAAATTGCTTTGGATGGTATGGACATTTAAAAAGTATTAATTCCTCCAACCCATGAGCATAGCATATCTTTCCATTTATTTGTGTTGTCTTTAATTTCTTTCTTCAGTGTCCATAGTTTTCAGAATACAGGTCTTTCACATCTTTGGTTAAATTTATTCCTAGATATATATCCTTTCTAATGTTTTTGTAAATGTGATTGTCCTTTTAATTTCTATTTCTGTTAGTTCATTATTGAAGTATAGAAACACAACAGATTTTTGTATATTAATTTTGTATCTTGCAACTTGACTAAAATAATTTATTAATTTTGGCAGGTTTTTTTGGTAGAGTCTTTAGCTTTATATATATATATATATATATATATATATATATAGTATCATGTTATCTGCAAATAATGACGCTTTTACTTTCTTCCAATTTGGATGGTTTTATTTCTTTTTCTTGCCTAATTGCTGTGGCTAGGAATTCTAATATTATATTGTGGGAGTGCACATTTTTTTCTTGTTCCTTAGAGGAAAAACTTTCAGATTAAGAAAATTTTTATCTTATCTACTCTTATTTTCAAGAAATACTGCAAGTTTAATAATATATTTTTGAAAGCAACCCCCACTATATTTAACTGATGATTTTATTAATGACTATAGCATCCACATGATTAAAAAAATAAAGAGCCTAAATGTTGTGAAAAAGTGGTTTTATGTATATATATACTTACATATATATACATATATATATATAAAATCATGTGAACTAGCATAATAGGATATATGTTATGCAGTGCCAATAACTTTAGAAACATGGACGATATATAAGGTCATCAGGAATGTCTTTATTCTGTAAGAAAAATAAGATAGTTCATTTATGTTTCTAAACTTCATAGAGAAAATGTACACTTATGATTCTATATGACTATAGTTTTAAGAAAATTCTCAGGATACTTGATTTATATTTGTAAAACATTTTATAATCTCTAGAACATTTTATTATGTAAAGAAAGTAAAATTGTTTTTAGGTTAAAAGAAAGTTTAATTGTTTATGTAGTTCTTGTTAAATTGTTAATGTAGTATTATGCTACATTATATCTCATTGTAATTTCAGGGCTCTGTTAATCCTGCAACTCTGTATTTACACTATTTTGCAGCTCCCTCTCCAGTCACCAATGTGAAAAAGGGGAAGATTGCAAAAAACAGCATCTCTTTGTCTTGGCAAGAGCCAGATCGTCCAAATGGAATCATCCTAGAGTACGAAATCAAGTATTTTGAAAAGGTAAGAATAATAAGATAAAGAATGTCCTTTTATCTTCTTCCGCCTTTTCTTTTTTCACTTTAGCAACTGCAATTATCCAATTTTTAGAAAAACATGTTGCAATTTTATGTGTAAATCAATGACAATTGATTCTGCGGTCATGATTATGGAGGCCAGAAATGTATAGGGAACGCTCTGTTCTGCTACTGCCAGATAGTTTGTGCTGCTGGACTACTGCCACATAGTCTAACATCAGCTTAACTAGGTTTCACGGCATTAAAAGATGAAGTCATAGAACATTTTGAAAGTGTTGTAACTGCTTCAGTTCTTGAACTTCAGTCCCGACTGCCATGTACTACAAGGAAAAATACATATGGCTATAGCCATTAACCCTGCCTAATACCTATGCTCTTAAGGAGGTATGGGTAGATCAGATGTGAATATAAAGCACAATTTTAAAATCCATATAAAGAACCTGATACTGTATTATAAACTGCATTTTATTTATTTATTTTTAAAGATTTTATTTATTTATTTGACAGAGAGAGAAGTCACAAGTAGGCAGAGAGGCAGGCAGAGAGAGAGGGGGAAGCAGGCTCCCTGAAGAGCAGAGAGCCTGATGCAGGGCTTGATCCCAGGACCCTGAGATCATGACCTGAGCCGAAGGCAGAGGCTTTAACCCACTGAGCCACCCAGGTGCCCTATAAACTGCATTTTAAAATGAGAAGACATAAAAGCAAAAATGTACGTCTCCCATTTCCTACATTTTCTTAATTTCTTCTTTCTGGAGTTGTCTCTTAGGTCTACTCTTGCATGTTTTTCCATAAAACTTCTTGAGTTTTAAAGGCAGTAATTAGAGGTGCCTGGTTGGTGCCCCTAATTGGTTAAGCGACTGCCTTCAGCTCAGGTCATGATCTCAGGGTCCTGGGATTGAGTTCCGCATCGGGCTCCCTGCTCAGTGGGGAGCCTGCTTCTCCTTCTTCCACTCTCCCTGCTTGTGCTCTCTCTCTCTCTCTGACAAATAAATAAATAAAATCCTAAAAAAAAAAAATAAAGGCATCAATAATTCATTTTTCTCTTTTCTGAATCCACAACCAAGTGAGCTATTGACAAAGAAATAAGACAGATGGAAAATAAAGGTGAACGTAAATTTCTAAAGAGGAACTATAGTATATAGCTTAGATATGTAGTCACCATGGGTCTTCCTATATCTCCCACCTCCATTTTACTTTGATTTTTATACAGTCTGGATCTGAATGGCATACACTACTTAGAACAACAGGGCTTCTAACAGAGGAGATAAAGATAGATGAGTGCTCAAACGAGACTCTGACTGGTGGGTAGGGAACTCTGACTCAAGAGTATGATTCCTATGAAAGTAGGAGCAGAAAACATTACAAACATATGCAGAGAAGCAGATCCGGAAAGAAAAGGAAAAGACCCAGCCACATGTGCTCAATTGCTTTCCCTAAACTCATGGAGCCATCACTCTTTCTGTTAGAGTGAATAGTGAAGAGGTTAGGAAGAAGTTAAAAACTTTGCAATCCCAGAGAAATTGTCCTTGTTAGCACATTGGAAAAGAGAGGGGAATAAATGGTTCTCCTTGTACTGATGCAAAAATACCAGGAAAAATACTTATATTCTATTAATGAAAGTTATTTAAAAATTCAACATTTTGTGTATATGCATAGATGAAAGAGTATAGGTAATACATTGAAATACATTAAATAATGCATAGCATTATAGGGTTTTTATTTTCTAAAAATTGTTTCTTTATTCATTGATTTAACAATTACTTGTGTGAAGATAATGATAATAAAACAGTAGTGGTGGGGACAAGGGGACAGTGGAAATGTCTACATATCCTTTCTAGGTTTTGAATGCCTGTGTTAAGTTCTTATATTGATTTTATAAATAGGTAAATAAATAACAGATCATTACTTTTGAAGGATTACTCAGTAATCCTTTTAGGAATGACTTGCTGGTAGCATTACAAATAACTATTGAATCATTAGGGAACATAAATGAAGATACTTCTATTTCATAAAGAAAAATGTATTATCAAATATATTATTCACCAAGAATGTCCTAATACAATACCTATGAGACAAAACTATGTTGGTGTAGGGGCACCTGGCTGGCTCAGTCAGTGGAGCATGTAATTCTTGGTCTCGGAATTATGAGTTCAAGACCCATGCTGGGTGTAGAGAATACTGAAAAATAAAATCTTAAAAAAACCCAAAAAACTATTTTGGGATATGGTTTACAGTATTTATTATAAAAAATAAGACAAATCGAGTAAAATATTGTGTCATTAATATTCCCTATTGATTCTTGTTTCTCTGGGAGTAGTACTCAAAACTGCATTTTAAATTCTAGAGCTCTACAATCTAAACACACCCTGTATCCAAAATAATTTGTTAAATCAAGGTTTACATCCTTATTCATTGTTTTATACATTTTATTACTGTATACTATTGAAAAACAGGATATATATACATATGTAACATAGACTGATTTTTTGTAAGTATTCTGACTTTCAAATTTTTATTGTAATTGAAGTTGATTTCAAAAGAAGTTGAAATGTATAATGACATTTAAAAATAATGATGTACCAGGGGTGCTGGCTGGCTTAGTCAGTGGAGCACACAACTCTTGATCTTGGGGTTGTGAGTTTGAGTCCCAAATTGAGCATTGAGCCTACTTTAAAAAATAAATTTAAAAAGAGAGTATCTAAAAAACTTTTGACTACTACTCACCAAAACTCTGTATTTGAATATATATTGTAGATGAAATAAAGTTCAACAGCAAGAAGACTAAAATTTGATGTCTTTTTTTTTTTTTTTTTTTTTTGTATGGTTTTCCCCTAAAGCAACTAGCTGGACCAAAGGACCAAATGTCTGGTTTCTTTTTTGTTTCTAATGAAATTATCCTATTTTTTTCCCCTTATGAGTAATCTTTCATTGTTTTTACTGTTACCAGCATGTGCGTGAGTCTCATATGCGTAATACTCAATAAAAGCAAGGATTTATAATTTTTTCTTTAAGTGAAACAGTTTTTCAACAAATGATCAGCAAAGTCCTTTTCTCTTAATATTCCTTCTAATGAATTTTAACCATATTGTGGAATTATTTCCTTCATTGTTCAATTTTTAAAATTATACTTATTTCATGAAAATTTAACTTTATATTTAATATCTTACATTCAATGCTGTGTTATACATTCTATTATTTTTATAACTCAACCTAAGAAAAAAATAACTTAGGAAATTATTTCTATATAGTCTCAGTAAATGAAGAGTAAGTTGTCCATTTACATTCCTAAAAAGCAGCAAAACCTTTATATATTATTTGGGGGAAGTTATTAACTTCTTTTGGTCAGTGTTTTCCTTTTTACAGTGAAAATATTAACTCCAAGAACTTTTTGCCAAGCAAAATTATTGAGCATACCAATAAAAGACATGAAAGTTTTTTTGTTTGTTTGTTTTTTCAATACTTTTGGGAAAAAAAAAAAAAGAAAAGAAAAAGAAGAAGAAAAAGATAATGATCTCTTATAGCATGTATTGAGGTGGGGATCCTGATAGGTTTCCAGAGCTCATTTTGAACCTTCAGAGGCTACCGCCATTTTATTGGATGGCTCTTGGCCACACAGGTGGCAGAGCTTTCCAGGGCTTCTGTATTTGCCAGCTGGCATTACTGCCTGCCATTGCCCTGCTCTAATAGAGGTCATTGGGCCTCTCTGCTCCTGCATGGTGATGGGCCCATTGCCATCTCTTAATTAAAGGCAGAGGCAAAGGGAAGCTGCCCCTTGGCAGGGTGTTTGCCAGCTGGCTCCTTCTGCTGAAGCCCTCCCATCCCTGCATGTGAACAGTGTTTGCTAAGCAGCTGGGGAATGTAGCTCATTTGCTCAGTGGGAGCATGAAGGCAGCAAAAGCCATTGCCCTGACCAGGATCTGGCAGCCTGGTGGTCGTGGGTGTTGAAGATGTATATATAGGGTTTGTGATAAAAGGGAAATTATAATATGACTGTGACTGAAAAGAGTGGAACAGAAGCAAATTTTGGAAGATGCTTAAGTAACTCAGAGTGTGTATTTATGGTTTTCCATCCCTTCGTTGTATGCTTTGGTGAGTCCCTCTGTTACTATAGATTTCAATTGACCCAGAAAGAGAACGCAAAATTAGAACTCAGAGAAGCAACCACTTACACATACAAGTTAATATAGAAATCAGAGTGTTGTGAGATTTTATTCAATTGTTATTAGATCATCCAATATTTCAAGGAGCAGCATGCCAGTTTCCCTGTAGTACCCCCACCCCCAGTCTAGCAGAAGTGTCAGCTTCTAATAATTTTACAAGACATATTAGTTGTAACTCCAATAGTTAGGAGTTTACAACAAAATTTTAATTTTTTTCTTTTTATTAAATTTACTTTAAATTTATCATCTTGCTACAGGACTCAAAGTCAAATTTACCTAGAACTGGTTATGTTGTGGAGATTTGCTGGGTGCTCCATATATCATCTCTGTCTCCGTGTCTATTGCTTACAATGCTCTTAATAAATAGTTTTATCCCATTTCAAAGAAGAAAAAACTGAGGTTAAGTTGTATATTCACATTTGCACACTTCCTTAGACAATAACATGGCTTGAATTCTAACCCTGATATTCTGTGCTTTTTTTAAAAACAAACAAACAAAAAAACTCTTACTTTACATTATAAATGTTGATATTTTATGTAAAAATCCTAATTATATCAAATATACCAGAATCTTTAGTTTTGTCTAGATATTTAAACCAACTTCTCTTTAAACAAAATGCAGGTAATAACAAACATATATTTTATCAGTTCTTGCTGAAATTACTATTCAGTTATAGCCAAAGTGAATAGTATAATCTTACTGAGAAAGTCTTGTATATTCAGTCTTAAGCTTGAGCAGCCACAGAATATCAGTAACTACAATAGTTTATAGAAGCTATTTACCTCCTTTAAAAGGAACACATCAAGAAATTGTCTGCTTTTTTTACTGCCTTATTCCTAGCGTATAGAAGGGGTCAATTAGCGTATAAAGGAGAAAGTTAATAAATGTTTGTGAATGAAGAAAATGATTGAAATTTCTTGGTAAAATTTTATAGGATTTGATGACATACTTTAAATCCTTGCAAAACTCTAGTAGTATTTCCTAAGCACTTTAAAGAATTGGCACTTTTATTATTAATCTGTGCATTAAAAAAATTTAAAAAAATAGTTGTTTGCGTGGAGTGCATCAGAAAACCTATTTGCATTAGAAATTAGAACATACCTATTTATATAGAAATTTGGATGAATTTAACCCTAAGATAATACTACATGTTTGACTTTATTACATGAGGAACGGTAAAACTGCTTTAAAAAATGTTTGATAGGTTGTATATTTTAGATTGCATTGGTGATAGAATAGAATGTGATTAGCCATTGACTTTGATTTGTCAAAGTAGAAAAAATTTAAATAATAATTATGACAATTATACCATGTACTTTCTAGTTTAGTAAGTTTCACACGCATTACTTTTTTTCTTTTTTTTTAGATTTTTATTTATTTATTTGACAGAGAGAGATCACAAGCAGGCAGAGAGGCAGGCAGAGAGAGAGAGGAGGAAGCAGGCTCCCTGCTGAGCAGAGAGCCCGATGCGGGGCTTGATCCCAGGACCCTGAGATCATGACCTGAGCCGAAGGCAGCGGCTTAACCCACTGAGCCACCCAGGCGCCCCGACTTTTTTTCATTCTTATAACATGTCTATGAGGATATCCAGGCACCAATTTCTATCCCAACTTTACATATAAAATAACTGAGGATAAAAGTAAAAATTGACTTGCTATATTTTAGCATGTTTTCGGTGTCCACACTAAAGTCACAGCATGATATGCTGCTGTTGATTGTAAACTTCAAGGGAGAAGGAGCATGGTTTGCATTTACTTTACATTTTAATAGTATTATGAAGATTAAATAATAATCTTATTCCCTATTGGGATTCTTGAGAAGTAATTGTTATATTCTTGTTTTCAATTTTTTTCTCATTTCAGAAAAAAAAGTCCTTTACATGTTATTACCATTAGATCTTAAAAAAAAACAAAACAACAACAACAACAAAAAAAACAAAAACCCTCTCCACATGCTTCTATTAGTAAAGTAAAATTTTCTGAAATGATCTAGAAAATGATAGTTTACAGTCATCAATCAAGATACTGTAAATAAAGACCAATTCTTAAAAACGGAAAAAGATCTCTAACCATTACCTATCATTAATTCAACCTGTAATATCTATCAGAAATGTAGTAATTGTGGCAACACCTTAAGGAAAATACAAGGGTAGTTAAGAATTCACACAGAAAAATACAAAGGAAGAGAAAGTTCAGAAGAGGGGCTGTGTGTTTAGATCTTTGTAGGTTTAAGATTCAGTGTGTAGGTCTAAGATTCAATGTACTAACTCAGAGGTGGGGAGAAGTTATGTATGGTTAGTGTAGACTTTGGTAGCAGTCGAAGTAGGAAGTTTCCAAGCTATCTTTACAGTGATTTTTTTTTTTAACTCCATCTCCATTCACTACTCACCCAGCTCAAATACATAAATGTGAAAAAATGGAAAGTTTTTTAAAAATAAAAAATATATATTTCTTTAGTTTTTCTTTAGTAATCCTTGTTTAGATTTAATGAATTGAAATTAAAGTTCTCCAGCCAAGTCCTCATTCCTTCTCTTAAGCCCTAAATGTAATTAGAAATTAAAAATCACCAAAGATATAAAGCACAAGTCTTAAACCTGGCAATATATGAGATCTTGCTACTTTTCCCTGTGAACAGGCAGCATGTTAGATGTGTTTCAATAAATATTTATGAGAAAAACAAACACACAAATACCAATACTAAAATAGAGTCTATAAAAGAATTCATCTTCTGCAAATCATTTGAAAAGTTTACAAATTTATTTGTGCCAAAGACAAGTATGGTGGATGACCAGAGAACATGTTACCCACCATCCCTGAGTTCTAGGAAACACTTTTAGCACACCTAGGATGGAGAGTTTTTTTTTTTTTTTTTTTTCCTAGAAGAGTATATTTGTACTAATAACAAGTATTAGTTTCTGATTTTCTGATTTATGATTCTAAGTTTTATCATCATCAGTAATTCACATATTGACTTTTTTATTGTATGTACATGTGTAATCCAAGGACCAAGAAACCAGCTATACAATTATCAAATCTAAAGAGACAACTGTGACTGCAGAGGGCTTAAAACCAGCTTCAGTATATGTCTTCCAAATTCGAGCACGCACAGCAGCAGGCTACGGTGTCTTCAGTCGAAGATTTGAGTTTGAAACCATCCCAGTGTGTAAGTCCTTTTAATTACTGTCAACTCATGTCTCTGTAATGGTTACCAGCAAAGAGTCAGTGGATCAATACGCTCCCTGGGCATTCTGTCAGTCTCCTGCTTCTCTCTCTCTCTCCCAGGCATGACCCCTTCGGGTAGGAAGCATCTGTCATGCTATTATGGTGGGTTAGTGGGTTAACACATCGGACCGTGCTCCTCATCACATTTAGTCTACTGGGAGATGAAACATCAGGAGATCCTTAAGAAATGTTTAAACCTGCTTGTAAAGACTTTCTTTCCACAGCTGCCATACTTTATTGAATTGATGCCGTTTACTTTTACTTGTTTCATTGAACAATGCTATCAGGCTTCGTCTTTCTATGAAAATTCTACAGGGAGCATGCATAAGTATTAAAGTTTGGCAAGAAAATGGCCGTCTCAGCAACCAATCTGATCATTTTGAAAAATCAAAATCTCTGGCAGTATCTCTAACTGAAGGGTCTGGAAATATTTCTGGAAAACATTTCTTGTACCATTTTTTAAATAACATAGCATAAAACGTTTTTATCTTTATCATCAAACAAAATATTTAGATTACTTGTCCTAAAGCACACATTAAAAGCAAGATTAGAAGAAAACAGTAGCTTGCTTTTACTTATAGATGAAAAACTGACATTCTTAATTCTTGGTTATGAAGAAAATGACACACAAGAGTAGTGTGAAATGTCAAATGTGTGTGTGTACGTATCTTCATTTGGTGCATGGAAGTTAAGAATACTGGCTTTGGGACGCCTGGGTGGCTCAGTTGGTTAAGCAGCTGCCTTCGGCTCAGGTCGTGATCCCAGCGTCCTGGGATCAAGTCCCGCATCGGGCTCCTTGCTCATCGGGGAGCCTGCTTCTCCCTCTGCCTCTGCCTGCCATTCTGTCTGCCTGTGCTTGCTCTCTCTCCCTCTCTCTCTCTGACAAATAAATAAATAAATAAATAAAATTAAAAAAAAAAAGAATACTGGCTTTAATGTGTCACCACTACTGGGAAAATTCTTTTTTTTTTTATTTATTTATTTGACAGACAGAGATCACAAGTCGGCAGAGAGGCAGGGAAGGAAGGGAAGCAGGCTCCCTGCTGAGCAGAGAGCCCGATGTGGGGCTCCATCCCAGGACCCTGGGATCATGACCTGAGCTGAAGGCAGAGGCTTTAACCCACTGAGCCACCCAGGTGCCCCAAGAAAATTCTTTTTTATCATTCAGGAATGTTAGGACAGAAAATTATCTGAAGATCATTACCTTGAATATACACTTTAAAAAGATTTTTCTAATTGGTTACTCAATTCATAATAATGATGCATGATGTTATTGATTTGCTTAATTTTTAAAATTCATGAATTTTAATTTATACTGTATGTGGGTCATAAAATTGCTATAAAGGGTTTTTCTTTTTCATCTGTATTATCTTGTATGTCATGCATATTGTCCTAGAACCGAATGCAAACGATAAGCATAGGAATATAAAATCTTTATTTTAGAAAGGCTATTTAACATGAGGATTTGGATGTAAAAAATCTGACTGGTCTTTCTCTCTCAAGTTTTAGTTTATATTTTATAACTGCCTATTATCTGATTTATTTTAACTTTGTATGCATATAAATAACATATTTTAATTTGGCCCCATATATCATCCCCTTTCCCAACAACAATGATAAAAATGCACCAGCAAATAAACCTAGCATGAATGAAACCATCCAGCCAATCTACTTAACTCTTTTTTTTTTCCCCTGGTTTCTTTTAATGTAAATTGTCTTGAGGCTTTGAGACTATCACTGAATTTTTCTTAACTCCCATTTACCAAGATTTACCAAACACCTTTGTGTTTCTTTTATGATTTTTTTTTTTTCCAATCCATCACTTCTTTTCATCCAGTTCCTACCTACTTGATTCAAATCTGTATAACCCAATTGCTGGAATAATGCTATTCTATTTTTCCAATGAAATTTTTACTTAGATAAGTGGAGTTTTATATGTAATTGTAAGTAACAGTGCAGAGTGAACTCTTGTACAATTTGCTCAGTTCTCCTAATGGTAACATTTTGCAAAACTATAGCATAATATCACATTCAGGATCCTGACATTGATATAACTCACCAATCTTACTCACATTTTTTTTTACTCCTTGTTGAGTGTGTGTATAGACATATGTGCATATTAAGTTGGATACAACTTGGTCAGATGTATAGATTTGTATATGTACCATAATAGTCAAGATGCTGAATAGTGCCATATCACAAAGATCCCTCAGGTTGCCCTTTTATAACTATACCAACTGCCTTAGGGAATAGTTCCTGTGCCATAACTAATCACTGACAACTAGTTTCTAAACATCCATTTCAAAAAATATGATATTTCAGAAATGTTCTATACATGGAATCATACAGTATGTGACAGTTTAGAATTGACTTAATTCCCTGGAGATTCATCTAAAATGTTATGTGTATCGAGTTCTTTTTTTTTTTTTTAATCAAGTGTCAGAATAACTTTTTTTTTTAAATTAACATGTAACGTATTATTTGTTTCAGGGACACAGGTCTGTGAATCATCAGTCTTACATAATTCACAGCACTCCCCATAGCACATATCCTCCCCAGTGTCCATCACCAGCCGCCCCATCCCTCCCATCTGCCTCCCCACCGACAACCCTCAGTTTGTTTCCTGAGATTAAGAGTCTCTTATGCTTTGTCTCCCTCTCTGGTTTCATCTTGTTTCATTTTCCCCCTCCCTTTCCCTATCCTCTCTCTTGTTTCTCAAATTCCTCATATTAGTGAGATCATATGATAATTGTCTTTCTCTGATTGACTTATTTCACTTAGTATAATACTCTCTAGTTTCATCCATGTTGTTGCAAAAGGCAAAATTTCAGTTTTTTTTTTTTTTTAAGATTTTGTTTATTTATTTGACAGAGAGAGACACAGTGAGAGAGGGAACACAAGCAGGGGGAGCGGGAGAGGGAGAAGCAGGCTCCCTGCTGAGCAGAGAGCCCGATGCAGGGCTTGATCCCAGGTCCCTGAGATCATGACCTGAGCTGGAGGCAGATGCTTAACAACTGAGCCACCCAGGCCCCCAAGATTTCAGTTTTTTGATGGCTGCATAATATTCCAGTGTGTGTGTGTGTGTGTGTGTGTGTGTGTGTGTGTGTGTACCACATCTTCTTTATCCATTCTTCTGCTGATGGATATCTAGGCTTTTTCTATAGTTTGGCTATTGTGGACATTACTGCTATAAACATTGGGGTGCATGTGCTCCTTTGGATTGTTGCATTTGTATCTTTAGGGTAAACATCCAATAGTGCAATTGCTGGGTTGTAGGGTAGCTCTATTTTCAACTTTTTGAGGAACCTCCATACTGATTACCAGAGTGGCTGTAGCAGCTTACATTCCCACCAACAGTGTAGGAGAGTTCCCCTTACTCCGCGTCCTCACCAAAACCTGTCGTTTCCTGGCTTGTTAATTTTAGCTGTTCTGACTTGTGTGAGGTAGTATCTCACTGTGGTTTTGATTTGTATTTTCCTTGATCAGATTATTTTAATCAAGAAAATTAATAGATAGTTACAGCTGTGGTAGAAAGATTCCCAAATTCTTAGCCTGGCATTCATAAACCCTTTAATCTGTCTTCAACAAATCTTTACAGCTTCATGATTAACTATTTAAACATAGAGCTAAAATGTAGAGAATATCTATGTAATATCGGTTTGTAACCAGGAGTATAAGAAGCAAAATAAGGTAATCAATATGATTTCTCAGTGTATGCTATCTTAAAGTTTCCAGGGGTAATGTAAGTATATAATGATTGAAAAAAAGGAACATTGTTTACTAAAGAATATTAATGTTTATAACAAATATCCTTTTAGTAGTGGTGTGTTGTGTTGCCCCAAATTTGCTTTTAAGCATTTCTGAAATATTCCGCAGTAATTCTTCAAAAACTATATGACATATAAAAAAAACAGGAAATGTGAGTGACTAGAGGTTCATATCTTTAAAGATTAAAAAAACTTAATGACATATTAAAACAATAATCAGATATTATAATTTATAATTATATTTTTTGTGTTTTTTATTTTTATTTTTATATTTTTTTTATTTTTATAATTTTTTTCCCTGAAGAAGTATGAAGGTTTTGACAGTACCTTTTCAATTCTCTATATTTTCAAGTTAGCTGATATATTGGGGATATTATTGATGCTGTCAGGGCAAACAAAGGAATAAATAGTACAAAATCTTAATGAATTATATTTAATAGAAATAGCTCACAAAAATTAGTACATTTGAAATAGTAAAATAATTAAAGCCCATCAAGGAAATTAGAAAATGCTGAAATTTTTTTAAAAAATGAAAATGTTATTTAAATTCTTTCTCATAGGCCCTTCATTTAATTGTCTATTATACCAAAAGATCTGATTTAAGTGAACAGCAGATAAAAACATGTAAATATTAATGTTTGTGATTTGGCATTACTAAAACATATTTTCATAAAATGTATTAATTTAAGCATTTGAAAATTTTTGGTATGCCACTAAAACTTACTTTGTTGCAAGATGTTAACCCATACTATGCATGTTTTAACATATTGTTAAATTAGAGTAGGTCTTGTCAATTATTGAAAATGAAGCATTTGGGGCACCTGGGTGGCTCAGTGGGTTAAGCCTCTGCTTTCGGCCCGGGTCATGATCCCAGGGTCCTGGGATCGAGCTCCGCATTGGGCTCTCTGCTCAGCGGGGAGCCTGCTTCCTCCTCTCTCTCTCTGTCTGCCTCTCTGCTTACCTGTGATCTCCATCTTTCAAATAAATAAATAAAATTTTTAAAAAATGAAGCATTTGACAGTATGAGGCATCCATATTTTTTTCTCCAAATTAATATTTGGTTAGTCTGAAATTGTCCCATTTTTAAACCTACTTCTGATCAATCATGCCCCCTCTCTCCAAAACTAAATCTCAGAGTGCCAAAATGCCACATTGAGACCGGAAAGATCTGTTAGAATTTTGTTAGAAGAGTTTGGAATCTAGATGGAGAATTTGGGACTTTTTTTTTTTTCATAGATAATAAATGCTTATTAACTTTTTGGTCAGGGAAACATGATCAAAGTGATATTTTTGGACATTTATGTGAATACTCACATAGAAGACAAAGGGGACACTTAAAACACCAACGAACCGTATGCAAACAGATTTGAATCAAATAGGTGACTATCAGATGAAAAAATATAATTCATGGGGAAAAACAGAAGAACAGAGAACGTGTTTATTAATTAATAGGCAAATAGGAGTTAAGAAAATTCAGTGATAGTTGAAAGAAACCAGAAGAAAAGAGATCAAATTAGTCTTATGTCAAATTAGTCAAATTAGATTTATGGTATGTTTATTTATTGATGTGTTTTTGTTAATACCCTTGAGGTTGGATGTGGTTTAAGGGCTGATTTTAAATATATTGTTTTTATATGAAAATGCAATCCAAATAAAAAGAAAGCAGTCTTTTTTTTTTTTTTTTAAGAGTCAAAATTTGAAGAGAAATAAGAGCTGGGAGTATAAATTTGGAACTCATCAGCTTATAGTTAACAGATGCCATATGCAAAGAAGTATCCATGAGAGGTAGGGAGAGAAGAAAGAAGGGAAGGAGAGAGACAGAGTGAAGAGCTGGGTGGGGGGGGGGGAAGTGTGGAGGATTAAGAGCCAGCATTCATCAGAAATTGTTCAGGCATAAGACACAGGGAGAGAATGTGAAGCCAGCAGAACTGACAAAGTAGGACTTCAGAGTGGGGAAAAAGAGAAAACAACTCATCTGATGTCATAGAAACCAAGAGGAGCAGAATCTCAAGGTCAAAGTTTATGTTCAACAAGGTCAAATGCCCTATAATGCATGGTAATGGAAATGGAAAAGTACTTATTGCATGCAGCCGGAACATCACACATAGAACTCAAAGACAGAAGAAGAGAAGTTTCAGAGAGAATGTACAGTGGTCATCAGAAAATGAGGCTGGTTCTAGATAACTTAGTCAAGATGCTGACAAATAGGAAATAATAAGAGTGATAAACAAAGCAGAATCAGATAATAATATGCAGAAATATTATCTACTATTTGTTTAAGGCTGACAATAATTGAAGCACTATGCTAAATATTATCTCTAAATAGAATTATAATGATCCAGGAAAATTATCCCTATTTGGAGATTAATGAAATGAGACTTGATAAGGATAAGTACTTTGCTTTGGCCTACTAAATGTTGAACCTGTTTTCAAATTTAAGTTGAACCAACATCAGTAAGTTTAGGTGTAAGGATCTGTGTCCCCTAAGGAGAATTATGTGTTCAGGCTTGTAGATAGCATAGAAGTAGCCTGTAAGGGAATGAAAAACTTCCCTGGAGGGAGATTGTTTAAGGTGCCAGGTCTTAGAAGAGAGAAAGAATTCTAATCTTGGAGTTAGGTAAAGCAAAGGAAAACTGCATACCCATACAGTTTTATTTAACCATGGCATTCAGACTTCATCACTCTTTATTATCTATAAAGTTTAACATTTCTGAAACATGAGAAGTGGTAATGAGTTAGTTTTTTGAGAAAATGAGAAGGACTCATTACAGGGATGATTTTGTCAGGAAATTAGTAAGAGAGAATCAAAATAATTGGAACGGCAGTTAGAGCCCAATAAAAATAATGTCATGTATATAGACCAAGTCTGCATGATTTTCTCTAGGAACATTCCCCGTACTAAAAAGAAAATTAAAGAACTGAGAAAAAGCAATGTTATAAATAATCTGAGTTTAGGGATTATAAAAGCAAATCTTGGGTCTAGGCTCTTTGCAATAGTGGAGTAGCTTTACCCTACCCCAATTCTATTGCACACTGGCTGAATTCCACAGACTTCAACATCAGATAATAGGAGAGAAAAATCAAGATAAAGAACCACTGAACCATTCTATTATCCAAGAAAAGGGAGGGTAAGAACATAGATTTAGATTATCAATAACAATCTTTCTCAAACATGACCAAGCTATTGTTGATATTGGGTTTGAAGACTGGTCTGAAAGGGTTAAAAGTGTAATTTAAGTGAAAGAAGTGTCAGAGAATCAGTCAATTTTGTTTTGAAAGAATCAAGGGTGAGGTGACAATAATCGAAAGGGAAGTGTTTGGATGTCCAAAACTATTGATGGGGTCAAGATCTGGTAAAGGGTTATAAGAAACAAAACATGGAAAGTATAGTTGTTATTACTTTTGATGACTTAAAATTTGTTAGGAAGACGAGCTAAGGCCATTCTGAATTTATCAAAATGATTATGTTCTTAAGCGATAGTATAGTATGTATCTTACTGAACAGTTTTTGAGAACATTAGTAAAATTTATTTTGCTCTATAGGTTTCTTGGTTTAGTAATGCGTAATAAATATCTCTGTGCTTATTGAGGTACAACTATCTACTCATGTCCATATTCTTCCTATTACGATAATCGTACTGTTAAAATGTAGCATATTTCATTGGAAGCCGTGTATTTAAAAAGAGATGATGTAAACGAATCTACTTTTTTTTTTTTAAGATTTTATTTATTTATTTGTCAGAGAGAGAGAGAGAGAG